TATATATATATATATATATATGACTGTGGAAGCTTGTTAAGATGAACCGGTACTTTAATTTGTAAATATGACGTTTGGTACTTATTGTCACTAAAATACCCGCAATATCACATTAGGCATCCAAATTCCCATAATTTGACCATCTTATCAGTGATTTTCGAGTTATTCCTCTCTAGTGTCTACTTACCTCGTACACAAGGATGATCCGACAGTCGTGTCTGTTTGTAGCCTTCTTCACAGCGATTGCAAGCTTGTCCAATCACACCGGGTTTGCATGGACATTGACCAGATTTTCTATCACAAGGCTCATTAGCAATTGACCCGATGGGATGACAACGGCATTCTTTATTGGAACAGATACAGCGTCAGGTTAGAGAGAGAGAGAGAGAGGGAAAAGTGTTAACGAAGTACCAGTTCAGCGAACTACTTACAGCTCATACAGAACGCGTTACTCATGCGCTGCTCACACCATTCTTGACAGAGGTCGACATGCAATAGTGGTTGCCTTTTGGGCCCACAATCATGCTGTTCATGCAAAGCGTGTACGAAACTGACAGGAACCATTAGGCACCATAGAGGCATATGCAGCAGTTCAAATAGGAAGCAGAGGTCATCGGCTGAATCTGCCATGATCACGTGTAAGCCAATCGGCACCTAATGAGGCTTTCGGGAACAGTGAGTGTGCTTCATCAGGCATTCTGTGTAGTAGGATGAAATCTTTGCAGTTTGACGAGCAGTACATTTTCCAACGCGCGATGGGAGCTATCTTGTGTGACCCAGCGTAATGGTTTATCTGGCTTGAAGAGGTTCAGAAAATTTAATGCTGCGTTCATATTGATGAAGATAGCAATATCCTACCCTAATGGAGTCCAAAGGTCAATTCTCAAGAAAAACAATCATAAAAACAATAACAGCAGCATGCCGGAAGCGCGATCGGCTATAAATTGCAGCGAGTGTGGTCTCGACGAGCACACACTTTGTGCTCACTAGTTCTCAGATCCTAAAGTGAAAACTCGTCAACACTAGTTATCACTGGAACCCAAATAACATTGCAGCTTCTTGAAAGACTGGCGTGGGACACTCAAGGGACTTTTAACAAATGCTTCCCTTGTAAAGATTAACTGATGCAATGACTGCAGCACCATTCTAGTTGTTTTTTCGTCTGGTTTCACAAGTATTGGTGCCTTTGAAGCTGACGCATGTAGGTGCCCTGTTTTTTACCCTCCACATTGTCAGTAAGCACACGATTCGAGTCATGCCGGAAAACCTAGTCATCGCCCGATCGATTGATCGATCGATCTACGGAGCATTAACTGCGTCGATGTCTGAGAGTATCTCCGTGCTAACCTTACTAAAGTACATACAGCGAAGCATTTCAATGCATACTTCCCAGTTCCCCATGCCATTTTTGGTTGCCGATTCAACTAGGATGATAAAACGTGCAATAAGCCCTTTCGTCGCACAGCGACTACACTGAGGATCCGTTAAGCTCTAAGGCTCTTACCGAGACACACTTGTTCGTGGCTAACCGGTTTTGTCCAATCACGATAGTACCCACTGGCACAATGATGACACCGCCTTCCCACCGTGTTATGTTGACAGTTTTGACAAACACCACCGCTAGTCTTTGAGGACATCAAATAGATCTGTTGCGAGAACTCGCATGTCCAGGAGTGTAAATTGCAATCGCAGCCTATGACGTGCAGCGTCATTTGCCATAGTGAGATGCAACCGAACGGTGTCATGCATAAGTGAATCACGCAAAGTTACCACATCCACAAGTAAGTTGACATGTTGTTGAATTTAACGGAGCGTTACGCGAGCGAACACATGTTGGCGAATTGGCGACAGACACATGTTGGTATTTCCAGATTTGACGAAAGGGTTTGGTGAAAGTGGGTCGATATACAGAATAGGTGTTAGTACAGGTGAGAGTAGTGGAACACAACAACAAACAAGTACAACATATAACCGGTAACACGCGCCGGACAGTACTATGTGAAAATGTCTTCCTGGTCGACGGTAAAAGTAACCATACCTCTACAAGCTTGTTCATGGCCCATTGGCACAGTGGGGTTTCTCGTGAACCCAGCGGAACACTGATCACAGTGCAAACCTTCCGTATTGTGACGGCATGCTACACAAATACCTCCGGTCTGGCCACCAGACTGTTTGAAGTGCTTCACGCTGAATACACATTCACTTGTATGGTTTCCGCATCGACAGGCTGATCAAAATAAAACAAGTGTCACAGTAATAACTATGTTTCCACCTATGACATACCTTTGTTTTATTGCTGTATAACACGGGAATGACCATAACTTCTGTTATTAATGACGCAAGCAAAAAAGTCGTCTACTTTTCGCAAATGATGATACTCCCAACAGAAGGTTTCAGAAGATATGACGGTAGCAGACTGGTTTGGTGCAAAAGGTGTCGGCGCCAAGAGAGATTACTTGTCCTCAAGGGAAAATAATGTGTCACTCGCAGTAAACTTTCTTAGGTATACATGCCAACTGCTTATAAAGATTACTCTGTTCTTCTCTTCTGTCTACGTTATTCCGTGGCACACTTGTTGAATATGGTAAACGAGATAAGGAATGACTGCATCTTAATTTGCGTATTGTTCCCCCCATTCTGGGTAACTTGGTTTTCATAATGGCTATAGATCTGTATTATACCCACTTACATTTCTGTCAAACAACCTCAAGCACTAATGAGTAGTTCAAGGTTCATAGTAAATACGAAGTTAAAAATTTAGTAGTCCCTGAAGGTTCCATAACCCGACTGTCTGATCCTCGAGGAAGTCGGCCACTGTAAATCCTACCGAAAGGCTTTAATCTGTTATTCATCGGATTCGATACAGAAAATTGCGGTGTACCTTGTCAAAACCAGACAACAACATGTGGCTGTCTATCTTTGAGCAAATGTGATTTGGAGGATTACTTGTAAGACTGTTTCAGTAAAGAACAGTTGCGACCGATCTCAAAGGAGACCATTGAATCCATCTTAAAGTGACTTAAAGCCTTTAATGAGCAAGTATACTAGGACAACCTCCAGGATCCTACTGACACTCATCAATAATGGAATGTAAAACAATAGAAGCGCCATTGCTGTCAGCATCAGGCTTAAGAGTTGATAGAAAGTGCACTCATACACTGATCCCGATAAGGATGTCTCTTGTGAACGGATAGGTTAGTCACACTCAGTCGTAGATTGAACACCTTTTCGTAGTAAATGCGTTTACTGTCTCGTCTGAAACACTCCAGCTCTCCTGATTTTCATCGAAACTTCACGTTCTAGGGCTGGCTCGAAGAGCTCTCCACACGAAGTGGCACAAAATGGCGTTGATGGGCAGTTATGCGTATAAAGAATGATGGGTCAGCCTACCTATCCTGATTAGATGTTGTGGTTTAAAAAATTCTTTGACAAGAGCCAGCTTTTGTCCGGCCCAGTTTCACCTCATAGAGGCAGATTCTCGAAGAGAATTTTTAATTTCTTTTAATTTTTTTAATTTTTTCACTACCAACATTAGGATCCTGATTAGATGTTGTGGTTTAAAAAATTCTTTGACAAGAGCCAGCTTTTGTCCGGCCCAGTTTCACCTCATAGAGGCAGATTCTCGAAGAGAATTTTTAATTTCTTTTAATTTTTTTAATTTTTTCACTACCAAACATTAGGACAAATGCCAAATGAGTTTTTTGGAGAACTAACTCCCAGCTGTCTTACTTAGAAACTTTGAAGGGAAATATCTTTTGGCATTAGATATTATTCACAATAAGCTATGTCTCTTCACGCTGTGTTATTGGCAAAAAAGCGAGCTAATGCAGTCACAAGCAGGACAACAAAAACGTGCACACCGTTCCATCGGACCTCTCTGCCAGTCTCTTGCTCAGGTGCATACTTCCCACATCATTCTAGGTTCAAGAATGACTAAGAGCTAAATTGCTTTGCAGCTAGCCCAATTAAGCCGAAAACCTCCTGAACTTACTGAAAGCCCCCCAAGCCTCGTTCTGATCAGATGTGATTTGTCGGACGACCGCGGTGAAGGACATTGTGCCTGGGCATTTCCTCACCAGCACACGAAGATGAGGCAACAAATGCAATAGACAGTCGTACGCTCAGTTTAACCTGTTTGTCTTGGCGAGATGCAGACACATAGCATCATCATATGTGAGGACCCGTTTGTGTCGCAGACCCGAAAAAGGTAAAATTCAACCTAAACGTCATTCCATTATTTCCACCTATACTTCAGTCTTTGATACTTGTGATTAACCCTCAACTGAAAAAAATATCGAAGAAAACTGCCTGCTAATACTTCGCGTGGCACTTTTTCTAGTAAATGTACAGAAAGCGCTGCTTTCGTAGAGCAGCATTACGTTAGAAATAAGAACCATTATACCGGGTGGGGTGGTTGAATCCGTTCGTGCTATTAACGAAATTCCGTTTTCCAGAAAAGTCAGGGTGAGACAAAACAAGGACACGTCGTGCCATTCAGCAACCTCCAAATCCCTTATAGCAATCGAAATGCTCTACAAGGATGTGAATTTATACTAACTGAGATATGCGAACGGATGACCCACGAGCGCTCATCAATGTTAGGCATCAAATACGTCTTCCAGTAACCAGACCAAATGCTAAGCGTACACTATCAAGTGACTTGCGAGCGATAAGCGAAACCTGATTCGTGTATCCACACAAAACTTGTGCTAGATGAGGAGCGAACTTATAGCGTGACCGAAATAAAATTGCAAATTTCCACTCAATCCATATATCTAGCCAAAAAGAAGACCATTTACTAGAAATACACTCATTTGCAAATCAGTTTGGTTTTCACGAGAGACTTAGCTTAATCTCTCGGTCGTGGACTGTCCAAGAGTTTTCAGCAACCTTGTGAGTAGTTTCCTTTATGAAAATCTACCGCGATATCTCGAATACCTTGCCAACTGAATCATGAGGTGGCCTGTGTGCAGCAAATTCAGCTAAAGGACATCATAAGCGAGAGCTTCAATTGAGTCTCCCGTGAATACCAAATTGATTTGCAAATGAGTGTGTTTCTCGAAAACAGTCCAATTTGGGTTCAATTATAGCATAAGGCTGGCGAAAACTCGGGGAATGCGCCTACCTGGTGAGCCCCAAGAAGGGCGTAACCGGTCGTGGGCTGTCGAAGAGTTTTCAGCAACCTTGTGAGTAGTTTCCTTTATGAAAATCTACCGCGATATCTCGAATACCTTGCCAACTGAATCATGAGGTGGCCTGTGTGCAGCAAATTCAGCTAAAGGACATCATAAGCGAGAGCTTCAATTGAGTCTCCCGTGAATACCAAATTGATTTGCAAATGAGTGTGTTTCTCGAAAACAGTCCAATTTGGGTTCAATTATAGCATAAGGCTGGCGAAAACTCGGGGAATGCGCCTACCTGGTGAGCCCCAAGAAGGGCGTAACCGGTCGTGGGCTGTCGAAGAGTTTTCAGCAACCTTGTGAGTAGTTTCCTTTACGAGATCAAATAGTTTTCTTTCAACTGAGGCACAGATCAAACTCAGCTCCTGTGTCTACCTGGGAAGTGTCCTCGCATTGTAAATATATAAGCGTTACAATGAACAGGCATTTAATAGTTGCTTCAGTCTGATTAGAAATTTGCGGCAAGTCCGTTATCGGCCTGCCATATTTGGGGCTCATCTGGTCTATGTGGCCTCCGGATTTCGCTCCATCTTTGACGCAATGAACAATTGGTAGCAAAACAGCAATAGTGAATTCACTAATTCGTTCCGTCCCACAGGTTCGTACACAAATATTTGTTAACAACTTTCTCACTGATACCACTTTTCTGCTCTGTTTTTCTGGTGCCAAACGGTCTTACATAGACTGGTTTAAATGGAACTTGGTAAACTCTCACCTATCTGCAAATGAAACGGCGAAACGTCCCGGGGCTTCGTGTGCTCGGATTATACTCCTCATAAGTCATTGATTCGTCATTCTGAGAGACACCTGGAGTATCTAAGGTTTACCTATAGTAAAATGCCCAGGGACCCTCATCATCCTCTCATTCAGGAAGAATACAAACCAAGGGCCTGCTGTCCTCTAAAAAATCAAGGCGCACTAGTGAGAACGCAGTGATTTCTTCCAAAAAGTTTACTCCCATAAAACGCTGGGTCGCAACGGTGTTCTAAGCTAGTTTATTAACGTTGTTCTTTTAGTTTACAATATTACGTACAGCTTTTGTTCTATGGTGATATCACACCGAACTGACGCGTTCCCTATAAGTCGAACAGAGTATTCGAGACCATGTTAGATCCGGTAAGTCTAATGAAGATAAAAACTATCGCTTGAGACCAACTTATATCATGGCAGATTCCAGGATCGATTGGCAAAAGACAAAGAGAAGAATCTGGCTTAAGTTTTGCCTGAAAGTATGGCCTAAGTAGCTCTAGTTGAAAGGACTAGCCGGAAAACGAAGACCGTGTATACTCAGGTGTGACATCACTAAGTTCCTGCTTTATTTTAAACGCGTCACTCCCTTGCTGTTTCAACATGGGATGAAATAAATAATCAGAAGACTACGTATGCAATAATTTACAGTTGCTTTTTTATAGAAAGCAACTGTCTGAAAGCACCTTGTTTGTTATTTAATCAGAGGAACTGGAGTGTTAAAGAAAGGATACAAAGTCCCTGAATTAGCGCCTCACAAAAACACGCGAATCGATGTCTAATTGTTAGTTTGCTGGCTGATCTAGGTCTATCTTGTGCTCCACTCAGTCACACGTCTGGAAGACACTGTGAAAACAGTGATGTCCATGGATTCAGTTAGCGATTTTGTACTACGAAAAAAGTAGTTTATGACATATTTAGTCCATTGTCCGAAAATCGTTAATGCTGATAAATGTTCCTCTTGACCCGGCTCCTTTCCCAGGTTCGGCAGTGCTCCAGACAAGCAAACAGGACCAGCACAGCTTTTTGCGGAACTAGTGCAAGTCATCTCTCATCTGATTCATCTTTATTCGTGCCGGATGAAAGGGTATGACAAATCAGTCTGTTTATTGGCTAGGTGATATATGATATGTCCCAATTGGCCATTGGGCGATCGAGATACAAATGGTGTCTTTGGATGGGGTCAGTATTGGTAAAATGAAAGATGCTAAACTAGGTGCCATGCAGCTGATAAAAAATTGTATTGTTAGACAACCGCTGCATGTGGTCATCATGTGTAAGGTAGCTACCTATTTCAAATGTAGAAATTTTGTGAAATGGGAATCCATTCCTTATTGGGTAGGGTTTTTATTCGGGAACAACCTTGAAGGGGGAGGGAAACCATAGTTCAGTAGGTTTCCAGATAAAACAGTGATGGTGAGCAGCAAATTTCACCATCCATTACATGCTTGGTTCGATGCAGCCCATTTCCAAAAACCTCAGCCGCATGTGACTCAGGCTTTATTGGGTTTCGTCCTGGACCTATTACTTTCCTAATTGTTGCAGGCTCAGGCCCATGTAGAGACCACTTTCCGCCATTTTTCAAGCACAAACCTTCGTGGCAGATGTTTTCACCCACCCGAATCGCTCTAGTCTTATTTTTGTCATTTCTGACCTGAACAGTGGAAGGCCCTGACACCATGTCTTGTAGTTCGCCACAAACACAGCAGGGTGCACAAGATTGTTTACTCGAGGTTTACTCGCGCTAGTCTGTGTTGTACCCAGGGTAATTACTTTCATGGAGCCGCTGTGCCTCCCACCGTTGCCGCTGTGTGCTCTGCTGGAATCGCGAAATTAATTAGGACATTAGGGAGAGACGGCATGTCTGGGACTAAACGACTGTGAGGGTAGGAGAGAAAGAGACAACCCCAAGTGTTTTTCCATACACAACTCAAGCGGGATTGTCTCACTCGTTTAACCTAATTTCTCGTTACTGTCGCCTCCAGCAATGTGGTCCGTCAAATTGTTCACAAGGTGTTGAAAAGAGAAATTCGCCTTTCTACACGTAACGCAGGTCGACTGGTGGAATGCTTTCATCAACTTTCCTACATTCAGTGTGTGGTAAGAAAAACAGGACGGCACAGCAAAGTGCATCACGGTTTGGTCAAAGGATCTCTGGATAATCATTCTAACCTAATCCAAGTCTGTTGCGATTCTTGGCCTAACAGAAACAGTAATAATTCCTCATACATTTTGTGCTCTGATGACTTATGGAAACTAGATCTTGAGGAAACTACCTTTAACATTGTTGCAAAGTGCCATGTGTTTGTGTCAATGTATAAGCATTACGGTTATTGTATTTGTGATTGGTTACTTTGGTGGAAATTAACGGTTATTGTTTTCGGTTAATCAGGCACTTAATTGGTGAGATGTGAACTGAGGAAACCGGACAAGCTAACCATATCAGAACCCGGCAAAATGAAAATTGTTGTAAAGGCACAGGATGCAAAACGCTTCCACCGTACAGGTATCTCAAAACCATATAAAGCTAGCTATTGACAATGCAATCAAGCAATCAATGTTTCATTGTATGTCACGTGCCACACAACGTCTTTGGTAATGGCGTCTCTCATTTGGCCATTGAACCTGGACTGCAGGTCGTACATAAATACGTCGCTTGTCGACTAGTATGGTACGTAATAAATTTTTAAAAAACGGAGGTAATTTTCAACCAAATACCTGACTCCCAGTTTACGGAACCCCTCCAAACCATGTTTAGTTTCTGCGGCTGGATGTTTTGGGAGCACGGATTTTCTTCACTTAAAAGCTCACTTATGAGAAGAAAACTTCCAGATTTCGGGAGGAAGCAAATCCTGATTCTCTGTTTCCTCCCCAGGAGGACCAGATATTATCCATAAGTACTGAAGACATTTTGTACTTCCAAACGAGTGGGCTCTTCCAGAAGGAACCCAAACCCGCAGATCGATTTTTAATCACCATATTTTACTTTAGAAACATCACTGTTGACATACACTACTTAAATATCAAAGCTGGTACATAGAACTTGATAAGAGATTACAACTCCAGAGGTATTGAGTTCCCACTGAGTACCCTGGTTTTTACCGTTTTACTGTCGTTATTTACTTCTTATTTGCTTTTAGCAATTCCGCTTAACTCAACCTAGATGACAGGGGCTGATTGACAGTAAGTGAACAGACCAAGCAGTGCTAGCAGACTTCAGACAACATTCAGCCCTGTTCAAATCTAAGGTTTCCCACCCAATCAATAACAGCCATTCAGGACACAGGAGTGCAACTAAAATTCCAGTGGGTCTATAAAGATAATGTGATGCGATTTGCTTGGGTCAACTCCAGTCAAGAGGACACAGTTCGGTATTTTGACGTACTTGAAGAAGGAACAAGACAACCACTAAGGCATTTTTGCAAAAACAAATCGCTCAGACTTCGTTTGGATGCTACAGTTTAACTTCCACATGAGGCCTGATATAGTAAGGTGAAGCACAATAGGACCGAGAGACACAAGGCAAACAGTCTCTAAAAACTATTCTAGTTGAAATTCGTTGTCGCGTGACTGGAAGACAATGTATACGTGGTTCACAATAAGGCACGCATTAGGGAAGTTTTTCCAAAACATTCCCAGTTATTTCGAATGGTGCGCGAATAGCATAAGTTTTAAGAGGTCGGATTGTCAGAACGACGCTGAAATTTGCTGTTGTCAAGCTGAATCGATATTGTCAGATGCATCATAACATATGTATTATAATATGTTTAAACCATTAAGAAAGAGCCATTTTCGTCATACCAAGAATCAGCATGATGGCGAAAGTAAGACGGACAGCCTACTTGGTGGCGATTTCAATAATTGGCGAATTCCACGGGTCTGATACGTTTAAAAGCAATTGCTTGGAAATTTCGGATGAGACGTGAGGTGACTTTTTGGATCAACATAACCCAGCAACCCAAAGCTTGATCAACTAATGACGAATCGTTTACATGTCATTACTGAGTTGAATACGCCAGCAACATGTCGTAAGAATAGCAAAACGATCGTCCAGAATTTCGTGAGCACTTCTAATCAGACATTCAAGTAGGATGTGGACTTAACAGTGAATATGTTTTGCTTCAGACTACAAACAAAGTTCAAACGCCCAAAAAAGACAAAACTAATCAGGACAAGACAGATAAGTGTCGGCCAATGCAACCTGGACTTTCTTCCGTTGGAAACTTACTAAGCTCATGAGTGCACTGTAGTAGTAGTGAGTCATTTGAGCCTTTGACCAAATATTTGAACTATTGGTTGTGAGGGAATCTTCCTCGGTTGAACAACTAAGAAATGTGAAACCTAGGAATCCTGCATCCACTTGAAACTAATCAGAAATCGTTCACATCCAAATCACTCTCGTCTGAACAGCCGTCCTCTTGGGCGAGCGTAATTACTTTCGTTAGTCCAAACTAAAGGGGACAAGCACTGGTTAGGAGTTGCCAACTCCTTAGCAGTGCATATTCTATGAACTCCGGACATCTGACATGCTAGGCTGATGTGTTATCACCACTATGCCAGCGTACGTTAGACATGTCTGATTTTGTGTCTGAACAAGCGAACGTATTCAAGCCTGAGCGATGTGATCAGTGTGTACTCAAACGACGGCCCAGTAACTGACCTCATTGTGACGATCGGATAATTTTTAGGTTTCAAGGCTCTGTGGCGCTACCTGGAGGGTGTGGACTCAACGCCAGCACAGGAGGACAACTGTTCAGACGAGTGATATGAATGTGAACACTACATATCCCGCAACCACCCACAACAATAATTAAAAAAATTTTCTCGAAGGAAACTACTCACAAGATTGCTGAAAACTCTTCGACAGCCCACGACCGGTTACGCCCTTCTTGGGACTCATCAGGTAGGCGCAGTCTCCGAGTTTCCGTCAACCTTATGTTCTATTGAACCCAAATTAGACTGTTTTCGAGAAATACACTCATTTGCAAATCAATATGGTTTTCACGGGAGACTCAACTGAATCTCTCGTTTATGATATTCTACAACTGAATGTCTAACAGGGTCCAACCATCCGTGGAACTGGCAATTTTGACACAGCCAGTACGGCTGCTGGGTCATCGTCAAAGTATTCGGGCGAGCCAATCACATCCCTCAAGGGGGGGCACGATCGCCTGTTCAAACACGGTGAAACATGTGCACCGAGTGTGCAGTGACGCTTTCGCGTCGGGTGTCAGATTTTCGTAGTCCAAGCCCCGGCACTGAAAAGAATATCCACTGCTGATGAGCTCTAGTAAGAGCAAAACCTGAGCACAGAGCTTCGCTCTTTGATGTAGACCCACCAGAATAATTACTTCAGGGGAGGAGAAGGCTTGTTCAAACGAGGGTGTGGTGAAGTTGAACTTGCAAACCAAAAGGTGTTGCCAAAGTTCATACCATCATTTCCCGTGATCTCTTTGGTTAATAAACAGCTGTCATTTAGTGTGTGTGCGCATTGTAGCACAAAAGTCGTCACAACAATAGAGGGTAGAACTAAACCACGATAAATAACCTAAGAAAAATAATAGGATGATTTTGGTTTTATCGGCTTTTGTTGCGGAAATAGCTACACCCTCCGTCATGAAAGGAATTTTAACACCAGCACTCCTAGTTTTTCTGACCAACTAATTTTTCGATCCGTGATTTCAGTACTCAGATGGCCAAATCTGGTACTCCAGATGTGTATCAAGAATGTATGTGCAGCAGACAGTATTCTGCTTTGTTCGTCTTATTGCACACACTCGACTAGGAGTATCGACTCGTTAATCAAGCAGTCAGCGATCCACGCAACCTCGACGAATCAGTGATGTTTGTTCATAGCCACACCACTCTCGTTTGAACGGCCGTGTTCCTGTTCTGGCGTAATTATTCTGGTGAGTCCACACCAAAGGGAAGCACTGGACTCAAGTTTCGCTCTTATTAGAGCTCATCAGCAGTGCATATCCAATGGTGGTTTGTGATGGTAATGTGGTTGTTTTACTGATAATTCTACTCTCATGTCCACTGATTAGTAACATTCGGCGATTTCACATCACCTTGAGTTACGAACTGTTTTACCGAGCGGCCTTTTGTTGACTACCAGGGTACATGGTTGGCACCAGGATTTACGGGCGTTGGGCATTTCCGCAAGATGCGAAGATGGCACTTATCCTATCCAGATATGGTGAGAAGCAGAACCTCTGTGTTTTGAGTTTGACAGCAATGATCTGGGGTAACCTCATGATACTACCAAGGAGACACCACAATAGCATCTCAGATATGCACCAGGGGGCTTCCCTGATTCTTAGCGGAACGATGTGAACAAAAACTAGGATGCCGCAAAGTTGTTGCTCTCTGGACAGACTACTTTCATAAAAAGCCCTCTTGATAACTTCCAGTTGGTCTTATGAATCTTTTCACTAATGATAATCCTCTTCGTACGGGTCACATCCCGCACGACCGGTGTCTCCTCAGGTGGCGTATCGATGGTTTTATCCCTATAACTTAATCAAAATTTCTGGCTCTCGTTTTCACAGACAGAATCGATAACTGACCAAGCCCTTTATAAAAGGACGACCAAGATAGTCTCAGTGCGAAACAGAAGTGGTGTTAGTCTGGTGCACACGGGCTTATCTGACAAAGTAAGCCACCGCCCAATCAAAATCGAGTTTAACTGTACTGGAAACATCGAGCCAACTGTTGCGATCATTCATCCGGCTGGACGGGGTAACAAACTCATGGCAAACCTAGAAGAAAATTTTTCGCATCACGAGTCTCCCGTTAATGAGACCTAAAAAACAGTTGGCAATATTAACGACAAATTTGCGCGGCACAGAGATAGAATTCGGGGTCAACGAGGCCAAGCTCTGCACAATTACTCATCGATAATTTTAGACCTGTCGGGAAAGGCGATGATAGCTATCGGTTGCCATAGATTTAACAATATAGACGCGCACAACCTCCAAGCACACCGACGGGAAACCACATATTCCTTCCGCCATGACATTGTGTGGGGTGACAAGAAAACAGTGTAGTTATGTGGCCTTGACGACGTGGCCTACTGAAGATAGCCACCCACCCATTCCTTAGCCCCAGATTCACACGTGTGCGTAATGGCATTGACAATTAGGACCCAGGAAACCGAAACTGGTGTGAATTTTCTAGGAGGTGCGAACATCTAAGGACAGCTGTTTCCCGAGTATGTCCACCCGTATTTGTGTGTTCTGGTGCGTGCCTGTTTTTGTCCGGGTTAATAATTAAGGTTGACCGGCTGTATGGTATTGTCGGCAGGTTCGCCCATCACACGTTCACACAGTGCAAACAGTCCGTAGGCTGCATCCGGTGCTGGCTACAGTGTGTGGGAGTAAGGACGGGCGTGCCACCTTGCAAATGTTCGGTGTCTTGAAACCTAACCCGTTCTACCAGTATGGCGCTGATTTCCAGGATTCGAAATGGAGGAATGGCTGCTTGCAAACTCGAGCCGTTAGGCACTCACCGAAAGAAAGACTACCCGAACTAGAAGGCCTTACGTTACGTTCCTAGCTGGGGCGGACACAGTTGAGAAGCGCACATACAGGGCGAACGGATCAACTACCATCTGAGCAACCAACATTGAACACACACTACCAATCGACAGATTAGTCATTATTTCGCTCACCAATATCAAACGCAATCAGTTGCTCCATAACGGCCACCCCCAAGGAGATACCAAGTATGGCGTCTCTCTTTGGCTTTGTTCTTTATAACGAGGACAAATTTCCGTACTAAGTGAACTTTTACCCCGCGTTTATTTGCACTGTATTCCATCCGTGACGGCTCAGTTACTTACAATCCACAGCTAACTCAAGACCGCGTCGGTTATACGCAGTCATCGAGTGGTAAGTTTTGTTGGTGCGTGTTGTGACCAACACTGTTCGAAGAGAAAACGTTCGGGGTAAATTTTTACCACACTCTTAGCTTTGTGAGGTCAACAGAGCTATGCCTGCGACACTGTCAGAAGTAACTTTCCTTGACCATCACTGTACAGACCATAACCCACCGAAGGACTTTACCACACCGGACAATTCGGTGCTAGGAATTTCAAGGGCCATCATTGTTCGAAGGGAGTCACGTTGAAGCGTTGGTAACTAAGGAGTCATACGATAGCATTCGGGATTTGGCTTATTGATAGTTCAGGCCTCATGCCTCTCCGAATCGAACACTGTTCAGTATATTTGCCATCCTTGTCTGCATAGACCCACCCTAATGTTCTGGAGCAACCGGATTGCTCAGAATATAACGCTGCTAGAAGTGAATCTCTTTGACCATTGTTGTGCGGCTAGAGCCGAATGAGGACTATTGCTAACTAGCTATTTGTGTGTGCGTAGGATGTATCTCAGAGGGTCGCCGTATCTTCGTTTGCATGTACTGTGAGGCTTAAAAGCGAGAAACAGAAATTACGAGCCACAAGTTGGATACATTGATGGCTTTAGAACCATCCTCTCTCGTTTATCATCCGGTCTTATTGTCTCCGGCCTACTCTGTTTGCGCACGTACGGCTCAATGCTCAGATGTTACCTATTGTGCACGGGATTAAAGGCTGATCGGAAAATGAAAGTCAGTTCACTTGTTTGGTCCCACTGAGCTTACAGATTAATTCAAGTGCCTTTCAGATATCAATTTTGTCTTAAGGCACTGTGTCAAAAACTCCTCTTTGGTAAAGTTCGGATTAATAGGAGATAAATTCGTAGGTAAAAATCGATGTAAGCTACTTCTATTTAAGCCAACTGAAACTCCGACAACTGAACTATAAAAAACCGCTCGTACCTTCCATCGAAACAATGTTATTGATCTCTGTTTATTTGTCTGAAACGTCACTCCCCTTGTAGATTCTACATTTATAACTTTTATCAAATGGGATGGGGTAACTCTGACTGATTCATCTAATTGCTCACCAAGTGGTCTTCCAATGAAACGAAGATTTGGTTTGGTTACAAATTGTTGAATAACTGCAGTGTATAAGTGTACGCACTACTGACACTACTGTGCCAGTTGTTTAAGCCGAGGCAGGTAAACGTTACGCAAACAGCGTTGCAGAATGTGCAAGTCCTTACTCATCCCACACGTCACACTCCCCATTGTGAGCCAACCCAAATACAGAGTCAAGCGAATGTCAGGGGGAATTCGCACCATTCCCGCTGACGGACAACGGTTTGTCATGTTTTTGGAGATAGTCTATGTCAAGACAGGTAATGTCAAATGGAAATGACAGTTGATCGTTCTCGAAATCTGTGTATGAATGTCCATGAACCTAATCACGTCCAAGGGCCGGGAGCAGACGCTTCAGGTTTTTGGATCTCATATTTATCAGCCATTTATAAAGATCTTACGCTATCAAGCCAGATTCCCGAGTCATTGTCTTGAATAGTAGGTGCAGCTGCTCGCTGGAAATCTCCGAACGGTTCTATCACCTCTCAAGCCCACTCTACCGACCTCCATCGCACAATCGAAATTCATGTTACTTAAAATTCATTCAAGTAAATACATTACAACATAATTGCATTCGCAAAGTTTGTCGTGACATTACCTCAACAAAATAAGTATCGATGTCGTAGTCACGTGTTTCAGTGTATGAATTTAAAGCAAAAGGAAGGCGTGAATTAATTCCATGTGCTGCCATAAAGCGTCCGCCTCACTGCTTAAACTTATTCTGATGCCTCACTACCGTCCATCATGCGCCAGGCATGTGACCATAAATTGTGCCACTATATATTGTCACCTCATTCAGCCATGTGGGTGCGCGTCTAACAGATATCAGATGCAGAGTGAAAAATAGTCCAACCTCAACCTCGAAAGTGTAGCCCCCTAAATTTCACCCCGTGGGTGCTCTAGAGTTGCGGAAACAAGGGAGGGATTGTATGTGAGTGACGGCATTAATCGAAATCTCCAAAACCTGTTGGCTATAGTCTAAACTCTTCGTTTAGCTGCAATGTCTTTGTTTTGGGCACTATTCAACTCGCTGGAAGTTGAAGTTTGGACTTTAAGAAGGGGAGACTGTATGACCAGACTACTAATAGGACTTATAGCAAAAAGCTTGCATTCATCTTTCGCCACCCAGTGTCAGTTTTTGTGAGGACGTTCCGTTTAAAGCTGATAAGATTGGACAGATCACCCATCACGTACGGGACGATCTGTTTCCATGAGGACAAAATGCCAGAACACCATTTACCCGGAATAATTTCAGGATGATGTCGTTGGCATCAGAAAGCGCGCTGTTTTGGGAGGCACCACTCTGCAAACATTATCTCGCTTGTCCTTTATTTGTCACAGAAATCGTGGTACATTATTCATTGTGTCTCCCCGGCTTGTTACCGTCTACTAAACATGAATCAACGGTCACCTGCAGTTACCATGAGCAGATGATAAATTCCGCGGGCTTCTCAAAATATAAAGACCAAGGTGACGTTACACTGCATACAGCGCATGCACGCGCGACCATTAAAGTGAACGATGCAGAGAATTATGGTCTATTGTTCTAAGTGTGTCAGCACGAATTTTTGGAGTTAAATTAGGCTCTCAGAAGGCACCCAAGAGTTGGATCGTTTAGCACTGAAATCGTTCAAGATTTCAATGACCGAGTGCCCACCAGCAATGGTAAAACAGTTCCTACAAACACAACAAATAGGCTTTTGTATCCTCCAAAGCGAACTCCACAGCTGATGCCCTGAAAATCAAT